GCTCTCGGGGAGCTGCTGCTGCTGTGTGAACCTTTGTGCTGGTGATGCAGTGCCACACGTCCCCCCCCAGCCAGGGCAGCTGCACATCCTCACCCCCCAGCTGGAATCATCCCTGGGATGAAATGCTGCAGCCCTGCCACCAACCAGACTCATCAGTCACCTGGAACGAAGCAGATTCCCCCCTTGGAGGGGAAAAAAACCTGCCCTGAAGGATGCATAAACCTGCCCATTGTCCTGATTTTCCCAGTGTGGTGTCGTGTTCCAGGGGAGCCTATTTATACTGAATTCATGAGAGCCACTTTGTGCCCAGGAGAGATCAGCCCTGTCTTTTCAATCAGTTAGTGGCCATCAGACACTAATGGGGTTTCTGGAACTGTGGGTGCTTTATGCTCTGTTTTGCAGGTGTTTGGGCTCCCTGAGCTCTTCCCTGAGCTGTGCTCAGCCCCTCACTCCAGGCAAAGGTGATGTTCCCTCACTCTTGGATCCTCAGCAGACTTGCAAGTGTCACATGTGAGCCCAGACTTACTTTTTACCATTTCTGGGTGCAGTTTGCAGTTTTCTCTGCCCGGTTCTGCCCACACTGGGGCTGTTTCCCTTGCCCTGGAGTGGTGCCTCTCTCTCCCCCTGATGGCCACTGCTGCTTTCCCCCTCTAGCCAAAGTCCCTGCAAGAAATTCCATCACCTTTACTGGAAGAACAAGTGAAGCAGAAGAGGGAAACACCCATCCTGTAGGTAATTAACTGCAGAGCTAAATGAAACTAAAGTGTTGGAGGGGCTTTGATCACTCATACTGGGCTTTTCACAGCCCATTTGTGACAGCTTCACCCCAAACCAGTTCATCTTTGCTTATTTGCTCTTACAGAAACTTAGAAATCAGCTTAGAAACCTCCTTAGGACCCAGCCAGACTCCACTGAACAGTTGTCACCCACAGGTCTCTTCTTTTTTACCATTCAGAGCCATCAACCAAGAACCATCCAAACCAGTTGCCCACATTCCTGTGCCTATCCCAGTTTCCCTGTGCCCACAGCTGCAGTTCCCAGCTCCCTGCCAGGTCACAGGGATTCACATCCCTTCTAGAACTCCAAATCTCTGCAACAAAAAGCTGTTCCCTGTGGATCTTCCTCCACCTTTTGTGTCACTTACCTGGTGAGGCACTTGGAGAAGGGCAGGAAGATTTTTGTAGCTGTGGAATGGTTAAAAAGATTCCTGCCTCAGGACCACCGAGGGCTTAGTGTCTGTTCTATAATTTATAGCTCAGCATCTCTCTTCCCAAGGTTTTGTGCTCACAGAACAACCCTTTTGTATTTCATGTACACGGCTCAGCTCAGGAAATGCCCCCAGGTTCGTCCAGGCCTTGTTAATACCTTCACCCATGCACCCTCCGGGGAGAAAACAGCTTTTTATCATTAGGTGAAAATGGAACTGCCTGGAAAAAACAACACAAACACGGGTTTTAGCCCACGAGGAGAGATTCCAGGCCTTTTAGTTAGGAAGCTGCCAGGCTGCTGTCGAGTGAGCCAGGGCTGGAGAAGTGGCTGTCAGGGCAGGGAGACGTGAGCCTAAAACAGAGGGCAGCAGGAGGCTCAAACACACTGGTTAGAGGGGATAAAGCAAAGTATCCCATTTTAATTGATCTAATCTTTGGCTCCCAGTGGAATTTGCAGAGATATCTTACTAGAATTACCCGGGGTTTTATCAGGAGACAGCAATACTGGGAAAGTGCCTTTTGCAAGGCAAACTACTCCAGATCTTGAACTGCATTAGCATTGGGGCTGGCTGAGCAAAAGAGCCCCACAATGGCTTCAAAGATGAGAGGAAAAGAAAAAAAAAACCAAAAAAATAACCTGGGGAGAGAGGGAATGTGTGAGATGTAAACCCATCTGGGCACACAAATGTGTGTGAGCACAAACCCAGCACATGCATAATGCTGCCTGCTCCCTCCAGGGTGGGACTGGAAGGATTTAGCAGGGAGCAGAAAATGCAGGACAGAAGCACATTAGAAAAGGCATCTCAATGACAGCAGCTTTTATCCTCCTTGTCTGAGGTCCATCCCTGCTCTGAGTGCAAAACCTCTGAATATTAAAAAAAAGAAAAACAACTTTAAAAAGAGAGGAGGGCAAGAGGGACATGAAACAAATCTCCTTAAAATACAGATCCAGATATAAAATACCATGTGGGTGGAGCAAGCTAACAGGAGAGATAAAAACCAGGTGGTTTCTCATCTTTTTTTTTTCCTTGACATCCTCTCTCTGAGCAGATGACTGCAAGATCTTTGGAGATGCAGAATAATGTCTAGCTCTGTCAAGATTTCTCTTTATTCAATGCAGAGAAGCAGTGAAAAAAACATCAGGTCTGATAAATGATTCATGGAGCCTTTTCTTCTGCTAATCTGTAAATAAATTTTAAAAAGCAGCTTCCTTTTGATGAATATATTCTGCAGCTCGTAGAAACATGTTGGCCTTTAAGCACAACACAGGCGCTCTCAGATGTCTCTAGTGCTGCTGTCAGGACTCTGAAAGCCCAGCCTGGCTCCTGGCAGAGCTGCACGGAGTTTTACTGACTTGATTCAGCTGAGGATCTGCCTCTCCAACCCCATGGCATGGGGGGAACCTTGCCTCACCTCACTGCTCAGTTTATGCCAGGGAGAGGGGAAAATCCTGTGGATTTAAGGATGTGAAAGCCAGGAAGGAGCTCTGTGAGCATCTCATACGACATCCTAAAAAACAAGCTCTAAATCCTCTCCTTGCTGCCTGTTTTGCAGTCACTGGGAGCAGAGCTTCCCTTCACACCCTGCTGGGGACAACAGAATGGCCCTGCTGTGCCCATCACCACAGTCCACACCCCATTCCCTGTGCATCCTCAGAAACATCTGCTGGAATCATGAGAACAACCCTGCTGTACCTATCACCACGGATCAAACTCCATTCCCTGCCCATCCTCCTCAGAAACATCTGCTGGAATCATGAGAACAACCCCGCTGTGCCCATCACCTTGGATCACACCCCATCCCCTGTGCATCCTCTTCAGAAACATCTTCTGGAATAATCAAAACAACCCTGCTGTGCCCATCACCATGGTCCACACCCCATTCCCTGTGCATCCTCAGAAACATCTGCTGGAACCACCCTGGATTCACCCTTGGGCAGCTCCAACCACCAGCTATGGGAAAGATGGAGCTGCATCCCTGCTCACCCTGCTGTCAGTTCTGAGTTCTTTTTCCAGGTGGTTTCTCATCATTTGGGGGTTTTTTTGTTGTTGTTGTTGTTTTTTTTTTTTTTTTTTTTTTTTTTTAATTGACCTTTGCTTTTTAATTCCTGTTATCCATTCGGCTACAGGTAACAGCAACACCAGGGGTGTGGACACTCTCAGGGAGCAGAGAGCTCCAACAGCTTTTTTTTTTTTTTTTTTTTTTTTTGATTGACCTTTGCTTTTTAATTCCTGTTTTCCATTCGGCTACACATAACAGCAACACCAGGGGTGTGGACACTCTCAGGGAGCAGAGAGCTCCAACAGCCAAAGCACCTCTTGCCTGTCAAGTTGCAGGGTTTTTCCCTCAGCAGCTGGGCCTCAAACTGCCTCACAACTTTCCTGACTCTAAACAGGGAAGGTTTCCCTGCCTAAAAAAGGGGAAGAAAAAAAAAAAAAAAAAAAAAAAAAAAAAAAAAAAAAGCATGATTATACAAGGACATCTTTTATTTCAGTACATTCAAGACAAAAAGAAAAGAAAAACAATTCAAGAACAGGATGTACCTTCACTCAAGGCTTTATCTCCCCTGCCCCTCTCCATTGTCATCTCTTTCCTTTTACAACCAGAAATTGCATAGAATTTGTTTTTTCAATCAGAAAATTAAATTTGCCAGTGTAAACCCCACATCTGTGCCAAGCAGAGGGTGAGCTGCTGCTGTTTCTAGGGAAGTCACTATTTTCCTTACACGAGATCCTGGGCTAATGATTTTCTCAAATGCTGTGTGGCTGGAATTCACCCTGGAAGTTGAGGGTGCTCCGTGGGGTCACGGATTTGGGGAGCTCCTGAGCCTGGGGTAGAGCTCAGAGTCACTTCAGGAGTGTGCAGAGCACAGCCAGGGACACTCTGGGGGTCCCAACACCTCCTCCTCGGCTGGTGGGGATGGGAAGCCTCCCCCAGTGCTCCCCCCTCACCTCCCTCAAAAGGCTCCCCCACACCCCATCCCTAGAATAGAAAGGAAAAGGAAAAAAAAAAGCAAAAGATAACCCCAGAATGAAACAAAAGACACAGAACCCCTGAAATTCCAGGTGTTTCAAGGCCTCTTTGAGTTCATTGTGTTCGTTGGCTGTTTTTTGGCATTTTAATATATGTGTATATATATATATCTATGTATAGATATATTTCTTTATATATGTAATTTCAACAACTCCTCAGATGGACTTCCAGCAAATGCTGCTTCTCACAGGGAGCGTGTCCCATCCCATTCTCCCCTTCCCCCTTCAACCCACCTGCCACCCTTGGAAAAGGAAGAAGAATTCAGCACCTGGTGCCTTGGAGACTGGGCCTTGACATACCCAAATTAAACAAAAAAAACCCCAAAATAATGACTCCTCCCTTCCCACAGCCACGGCAAATAAAAAGTCTCCCCTTGCCCTTGGAGAACATCCCCCAGTAAGTGATGGAGAGGCAGCGCCACTGTCCTTTCTCCTGACCTTGGAGGGGTGAGAAGTTCCAGGGAGCCCTCCTTGCCCCTGGGTGGGCAATACCTGCTCCACCAGCCACCCACCACGTCCCTCCTTCCCAGAGAAAACCTCTGGACCTCCACCAGCCTGAGGACCTCCCTCCTGCCACGCCAGGCCGCAGCGGACACCGAAACCGCAGCCAGGCCTCAGCGTCCGCGCCGAGGCGCACCTTGCTCTGGAGAAGCCGGGTAACTGCTATTGATTTAAAAACGAGTTGACATTGTACAAGTCCGTGTTCTGTAAAATGGAACAGGACCCTCTCGGCCCACCCCGACGCCCGCCGGGCCCGGCGCTACTCGGGCCCGCTGCTGTTGGTGGCCTTGTCCCACTCCAGGCTCTCCTCGCTCCGCGCCGGTGACCCCGCGGCCGGCCGCGCCCGGAGCCCCTGGAAGCGGCGGCACTCGGGGCACACGCGGATGTGGGTGCAGCCCCGGGCGACCAGGGCGGCCTCTTGTGCCAGTCTTTGTGCCAGGGGGTCTGGCTCGCCCCCGCTGCACAGCTTGCCGTTGCTGAGCGTGGTTGTGCTGCGGGCTCGGCGCTCCTCGGGCAGAGCGGGGCGAGTCCGTACCACCCCCCCTCGCCTCCGACGGGGGTGGAAACTGTCCTTGCACAGGATGATGTTGCGCAGCTCCGTCACCATCTCTTGGCACACCGACACCTGCGGGGGAGAATGGAGCTGTCCTGCTCACCTGGGAGAGCTCTGAGTCCCTCAGGGGCTCTGGGTCCTGGAGTGATGAGGGCTTGGAGTGACCTGGGATGGTGGGAGGTGTCCCTGAGCATGGAAGGGGGTGGAACTGGATGAGCTTTAAGGTCCCTTCCAACCCAGGATGTTTTAAGATTTGGTGATTCTGACACCAAATTTTGATGGACTCAGTGCTGCTGGTTTTCAACATCAATGCTCAGAATCTCCACTTGATTTAACCCAATTCTGCCTCTCATCAGAGACCCCCAATGTGTTCTTCAGCCCCAGATCAGTACAAGATCCAAAACTGCTGCAGGTGGAAATCCCATCCCCAGGAAAGGTACCTGGATGTTGTACACATCTTTGATCCCTTTGAAAGCCCTTGGAGCCTCTCTACAGCCTCGCTCTGAGTAGGAGTGCATGAGAAGCTCATGGATTTTAGACCCTGCCCAAAGGACCAAGCCTGTTCCTGGGTTTGAGCTGTCTTGGCTGGGATTGCTCCTCAGCCTGGGTGCATGACTTGCTCTAGAACAACCCACAGACAGCAATAAACACACCCTGTCCCCTCAGGACACTCCCAGGTCCTACCTCCGACTGCTCAGAGTGTCGAAGGCTCCACAAAAATTCCAGCATTGCCATAAAAATTGCTACGATTAAGCCACAGATGAGCACCACGAAGATTCCACCAATGTTCTCCATCCCCAAGCCTAAAATAAAGCAGGAGAGACACTCTGGAGAGGCAGACACGTCATAAACCTCAAGTATCACTGCACAGAACGCCCAGGCTTTGCTGTTTTGTTGGCATTGTAGATGCCCAGCCAGGGACCAAAAGCACCAAGCCAGCAGTGCCCTATTAATAGCTCCCTGCATGACTCAGATGGCCCAAGTGAGTGACTTGCAATGACTGCAGGATCGAAGATGCCTGCTCAGAAATGATGATTTTGCAGATAAACAGCCAGAAACGTTGGAGGGGAAGCACAAAGCAATTTGTGGAAAAACTGAAAACAGGATGGGAAAAACGCAGGATCAAAGGGGCACATTAATCCCTGCAAATTATTCACCAAGCTCCAGTGGCTTTGAACTTGAAAAGGAAGAGGAGCAAGGTTGTTAAAGGAGCAGAGATAAAGGAGACAGCGAAGGGCTTTAAAGGAAGCTGGAACCAGGAAAAGCTCCTTTGATTGCATCACAAAGTGCTGCAGGAAAATGACTCCGGCTGCTCGGACTGCAGTGGGAAAGGAGAGGCTCCAAACAAGAGCAGGATGCTGTGTCACTACAGGGTGACAAAATGGGGTCCCTGCCACCCTAGGGGACCTGGCTGTGCGTTGGGTGTCTCTGCCCAGCACCCCTGGCCCATGAGGAGGGAACAGCCCCTTCTGTGGACAGCTCATCCCACCTGCTCCCACAACTCACCTCCTATGGGATGACCACCATGCCTACCCAGCCTGCATTCCAGAAAGTTCCACCAGCTGAAGGAACATCCATCCCTTAAAAACATGAGCTTTCTATGCGCTGAGGCCATCACTTCACTTGCCACCACAGCCCTGGTCCCCAAAGCTGTGCCTCCATCTGCGTGGGAGATGAGCCGACCCCAACATTTGTTCTCCTGGGATGTGGTTCCTGTCTCGTGTGTTTGGTTTGGGTCCCTGATTGGATTGATTACTAAAAAACATGTGTTCTGCCCTGGGTTGGCTGTGTGAGGCCATTACTCAACAAGAACATCTATAAAAATCTTCCTCTCCCTCCTGTAGCATTAAATCAAAGTGTAAGAATAGATGATTTATTGACTTGATCTCGGCGTGGCTTTTGGACATAAAACCTCACCAAAATCCTTGTAAATCGCTGACCTGTTTTGTTCTAAAACTTAGCAGGTCACATTTCTGCCTCCTCCTCCGTCATTCTTTTGGCACCACCCCCAGAGCAATGCAGGGAGTCTGTAAATCAGAGACTTTTGCAGAGGTGGTTCCACAGCAATGGCAAGGCAGATAAAACAGCCCAGAATCACAATTCAGACCCAAATGGAAAGGCCATCCACTCCCCCCAGCAGCTCACAAGTGTGAATTTAGAGTTTGTATCTCTCTGTACACATCCTCCTATCGTTCTGTCTGGGTGCCACCTCAGACACCCAAGCTCACTGAGAGATATTTCCTTTCTCCATAGAGCTACAGCCTTCCTCATCTCCTAAACTGAAGAAGTGAGCCACGGCATAGGGAACAAAACAGGAACAGCAGAAAAACTTACCCAGGGTCAGAGATTGTGCTGGGTAGTGCCAGAAACAGCCCAGCTTCCCCCTTCCAAAGCCACCTCAAAACAGATTCCACCTTAGAGTTGCTTTTGGCACAGTCCAAGGAAAAAAAAAAAACCCTTCCACCTTCAAAAGTAACTCATTTAATAGCAATAACCTGATGTCTTACACCTTCAGCCTGAAGATAAATAACTGGGGTTGTCTGTAGAGCAGCACTGCCCAAAAGTGAGCATCACCTCCCAGCCCCATGGGGTGCCAGCAGGAACGGCACAGACACACACACACCTACACCTGCTGCAAGGTCAAAACCCCAAAAGAGCTTTCCCAGCCCTGGCTTGGCTCTTTTCTCTGCTCCCACACAGGTCACAAGGCTGTGCTTTTAACTGGGGGGCCTGCTGCCCTCGCAGAAAACACTTGCTGAGGAAAGGGCTGCTGCCAAAACTAAAAAATGCAGCAACTGTGTTAAGCTGGCAACTGCTTTCATGCTGGGACATCAGCCTAATGTGGTGGCTTTTATGGCAATTTGCATAGCATTACCCAAAAGAATTTGCTCCTCAGTTTACAAATGTGCTAATAAAGTCCTTGTGTCCCTTCTCTGGCTGTTTAAAAGACGCTTTCACTTGGAGCCATTAACCAGCGGGCCTGTGGTGGAGATCCATCTCCCTTCAAGGAACCCAGGATTTTGGTCTGATCCCTTCAGCCATCCATTTTCCCAGACATTCATTAGAAGCTAATTTACCCTCCATATGCCTCCAATATTTGTCATTTGGTTGTTCCCGCTATCTCTGCCCCAGGCAAAAACACACAGTGTGAGGCACAGCGGAGCTGTTTGGCTTTCTCCTTGAGTTGTGAAGGAAGGAATCTCAGGTCAGGACAAGGGGAAAAAGTGATTCCCAGGCAGAAAACCTGGCAGACATGCAGCTGGGTGTTCATCCTCGCACCTCTGGCCAGGATGTTTCTGTGCCTGGTCCCTTGGGAGTGCAGGGCTTACCTTTGGCTCTGTGGTCCTCCTCTTTGGGGCACTTCCCTCCTTCCCACCACTTGCGCTTCAGGATTTCCAGGCGGTTGTTCTCCTGCAGCTGGAGGATGGCCAGGTCGAACTCGTCGCGGAACACGGAGCCTGCAACGCCGAGAGGGACGTGGTAGGGCCCCACCTTCCTCCCCATCATCATCCTCGCCACTCACCCCACCCCAGCGTGCCCAGCTAGCACAGCTCCTCTCTGGGTGGCTTGGAGGGGCTGTCAGTCCATGCAAGCCATGGAAAGCTGCAGCCACCCCACTGGGAACGTCACCTGGTTAATGTCACTTGCAGAAGGTGACTTCACCTGGCCACCAGCAGCCACACAGGGCTCTCTGGAGCAGGTCCATGGCAAGGAGAGCTTTGGCTTTTGAATGAGCAGTTCGGTATCCTGCTCCTGCAGACCATGGAGGTCCCTCTCTTGTTCCAACTCCAGTTCAACCTTGTTCTAATGCTCCTTCCCTCAAACTGGTCACAGAATAGAAATACTGAGTTGGAAGGAGCCCAAGGATCATGGAAGCCAAAATGTCCATGTTGGAGGAGCTCAGTCCTGGGCTGGGCACAGAGCTCTGCTGCAGTCCCAGTGTCTGCTACCAGAGATCCTTGTCTGCCACCAGAGATCCTTGTCTGGTACAAGAAATCCTTGTCTGCCACCAGAGATCCTGAGGAAGGGCCATGGGAAAGACTCTGCTTCTCCCAGTAACTCTGCACTATTGTCCCAGCCTGCAGCTTTCTGCTCCTCTTATCTGCTACGGTTTCACTGTTTAACAAGACAATGTCAGAACAAATTTAGCCCTGAAGGTAGGGATTTGTACTCACTTTGATCAGGTTGCTGTGACTTTACAAGCTTACCCATGTTCCCTAAACTAGAGTGGCTGTTTGTGTGACGGGGGCCTTATGTAATCCACCTCAACTTTGTGTTGCTAAATGCCAGGGCTTAAAGGTCAGGACAAGGCTTCCAGGCTGTCCAAAAGACCAGCGGATCGTTTGGAACAACAACTAAACCCTTATTTAGTGGTGATGTTCTCTTGTGAGCTCGTACATTTGAAAGACAAAACCCCTGCATTTGTTAAACCTGATGAGAGCCCCTGAATCACCCAGCTCTCTGGCCTGCAGTTTCAAAAACCACCAGCTGTTAAGACATTCCTGCTAAAAACTACCAGAATTACCACAGCATTACTTTGACATCACTTCTGGGATTAAAACAAGGAGCACGAAACGATGCACAAACACTGGTTGGGGAAGGAAACAGCAAAGAGCAAGTATGCAGAAAACAAGCAGCAATTTTGAGACATCTTTCACATGAATCATTGAAAGAGCCTCGGTCGCGTCTCACATGGCTCTGGACCAGAGCAGGGTCTCACATCTGGCTCTGGACCAGAGCAGGGTCTTGCACATCTGGCTCTGGACCAGAGCAGGGTCTTGCACATCTGGCTCTGAGCACGGGCAACAGGTAAGAAATTAAAAGGACCCTGTGAGATGCAACGTTGGCTTTTAGAGCCGGCGCAGCCTTTGGAACGCTCCGGTCCTCTGCCGACAGCCGAGAAGGACTAGAATTGTTCTTCACTGCCTACCGACGGGCATGCCAATCCCGTAGCCCTTGGTGTCCAGAAGGCCCCCGACCTGCGTGAGGTTGCAATTGCGCTGCCGATAATACTCGTTCATGGTGGACTCCAGCAGGAAGGCGTAGTTGGAGTTCAGCACGCGCGCGATCCCTTCCTCCGTGCTCTTCACGAAGACGCTGGGCTGCTTGGAGTACATGTAATTCCACATCCGCTGGTACGTCTGGTAGCGGGAGTTCTGCGGGGGGGAAAGAGGCAGACACAGCTCAGGGAGGAGATTTGGGGTAAATTAGATTCTGTCCTAGGTGACAATATTAAGATATATTCTATTCCCATCGTCAAGAGGTGCTAAAACCAGGAGGGGCGTTGTTTCTTCTTTACCTCCTGTTAATGGGCCCATCAATGCCTTGCCAATGACTCAGAGATAATTCCCTCCAGGAGCCATTTCTGTTTAATGGACCCAGCACATGACTCACAGAAGGAGAACAGCCCATTGTGAGATGCTCCACCCAGGAGGGAGGAGCTGAGCAAACCCACCTGGATATAATCGGGGATATGGGACACAACGAGCAATCTTTCCACTGGATTCCCAGAGGAATGGCCGTCTTTTCCACTGGATCTTTAGAGGAAGACTACACCCTTTCTAGAGGATCACTGTTCCAACAGAACCACATTCGCGATCCCTTCCTCCGTGCTCTTCACGAAGACGCTGGGCTGCTTGGAGTACATGTAATTCCACATCCGCTGGTACGTCTGGTAGCGGGAGTTCTGCGGGGGGGAAAGAGGCAGACACAGCTCAGGGAGGAGATTTGGGGTAAATTAGATCCTGTCCTAGGTGACAATATTAAGATATATTCTATTCCCATCGTCAAGAGGTGCTGAAACCAGGAGGGGCGTTGTTTCTTCCTTATCTCCTGTTAATGGGCCCATCAATGCCTTGCCAATGACTCAGAAATAATTCCCTCCAGGAGCCATTTCTATTTAATGGACCCACCACATGACTCACAAAATGGGAACAGCCCACTGTGAGATGCTCCACCCAAGAGGGAGGAGCTAAGCATCCCCACCTGGATATAATCTGGGGTTTGGGACATAGCAGTCTTTCCACTGGATTCCCAGAGGAATGGCTGTCTTTTCCACTGGATCTTCAGAGGAAGACTACACCCTTTCTACAGGATCACTGCTCCAACAGAACCACATCTGCCACCCCAGGAGGACTACAGCCACCAATCCAACCGGACTGCTACCAACACCCTGACCAACAGGGTGTCAGATTGTATTCTGATTTTGTCAGTGTTCTTTTCTTTTGTATTGTTGCATCTATTTTGGTTTTATTTTTCCTTTTCCTAATAAACTGTATTTCTGACTTGGGAGTCTCTCACTGGTTTTGCTTTCAAACCAGAACAGACCCCTAAAATTAAACCCCCATATCAGGCACTGTTGCAGAAAGGCCACAATGGAGAGGGGAATCAAATCTGGTTTCAGATTCAGCATGGATTTTGATGCCTTATCTTTGTTTATGTCAAAGAGGCCCAAATGTGTTGGGAGTTTGTTGGAAAAGCTGGGCGTGAAATGCCCCAATTCCAACAGGGTCTGGCAAAACTCTTTGTGTAAATTCAATTTTAGAAAAAAAACCATAGATTTCAGTGACCACATATCAAGAACACACAAAAAATGCCTGAAATAGCTCCTGCTTGGTTGATTGAAACCTCCGAGTGATCACACTACACCGACAATCCCTCAAACATTGTCCCAACAGTTCTTCAGTGTCAGAGCCAGACTCCAGCACCCTGAGGAGGGCACTGAAGGCTGGGGGCAGCACAAAAGCTCTCTGGAGATTGTTGCTCACAAATTTAATTCAAAAAATAATCCAGATTTGGTTCACCCCTCTGTGAGGCAAGTTAAAGTGCTTGCTGGAAAGAACTGGGGTTTTTTTTGTCATTGATTACAATAAACCAAAGCTCAGCCAGCCCCACATCCTCAGAGCTAGCTGCTGGCTGAACCACCTTGGTCCGATGAAAAGAAAGCTGAGAATGATGAATCTCTCTTGCCTGTGCTGAGCAGAGAGTGAAACCTGCTTGCACAAAGACTGAATATAAACACACCCTGCTCTACATGAGGATTTTCATACTGTCAAGGGCTCGTTTTCTGTGGCTGGTGAGCAGTGCTGGAGAGCCTCAGGGAATCTGCTGCTGACCCAGTTCCTGTCCTCATCTGTCCAGCTCTGTCCTCTGGGTGCAGCCACTTGGGCAGGAGACAGATGAGCAGGGGGGGGTTGGTTCTGTTTCACTGCATTTTTAGACCTTAAACTGTGTGTGTCAGTGTCAGGGGAAGCACTGCCAGGACAAGGTGCCTCAGGAGGGGACAAACATTCCTTCATGCACCAGGAAGGGAGGGGGGACGGAGGCACTTATCCATCACTACTTTAACCTCCCCATCCTTACACCAGAGGCAAATGCATCCCAACACAGCTTCAAGCACCACAAATGGGACAAAACCTTCTTTTCCTAATTTCCTCTCTGATTTCCTCGCTGCCAGGCAGAGACAGTCAGGGGTTTAAACTTGAAAGCTTTCCTCAAGTGAGCCGCACGTATACAACCACCTCCCTCACTTAGGCCCTGCTCAGCTCATTTTAGATGTAAAGTTTGGCTTAAAAGTAGCTCTTTTCCATACCCCTGAAGAGCATAAAGTTGGGCTCAAAAGCTCAGGCTGACTCCAGAGATTTCCCAGCCTTCCAAATTCAGTTCAGACTCAGAGTGGAGGGAAAGAGTGAGAACAAGCTTTCTCTCCTTTTGGAATTTCAACAAGCAATAAATAAATAAATAATCCTCAAGCAGTTCTTTGTGTGTTCAGAGCGCTGCAGAAAATATTCACTCATTTATTTCCCTTCTGAGCAGAGCAGAGAAGATAAAAATTAAATTGGGCTAAATGGCCCACATAACTTTACATACATTTGACTTATTTCAGTGCCACTGACCTTACACAGGCTCCAGAACTTTGACTTCTGTGAGCCTGCCTGGGCTGTGCAAATGTTTCTTTTCTTATCCCACCTGAAAGACTCTCCAATAAAAGCTAAAACCATGCAGAGACCCGTGAAAATTTGAACTCCTTGTCGAATTGCCTTTCTGTGTCCTCCACCATGCCTCTCCCACCATTCATCCTGTGCAGTCATCTCTCCAGAGGTTCCCCTTCCTGCCAGCAACTGGAGTGACACAGGGGCACAGCAGGCTGAGGGGACACCCCAATCTGATTGAGGGGTGCCCTGTGCACCCCCTGCCCCCCAGCCAGCCAAAAAAATGGGGTTTACTTGGAAGAAAGTCATGCTGGAGCCGCCGTGGATGGTGCCGTACTCGATGGTTGTCTGGTCAGCAAGGTCATCCACAGACTCGATGGGGACGTCCATCCTCTGCACGGTCAGGAATGCTGCCAGGTTGGCCGTGTAGGAGGAGATGATGATCAAGGTGAATGCCCACCTAGGGGGAGGGAAGGGAAGGTGTGGTTTCCCTCAGGAAATCTGCGTGTCCATCACAGAATCGCAGAATCGCTGAGGTTGCAAACTCCCTCCAAAACCATCACCTTGTCGCGCAGACAAGTGAGTGCCACATCCAGTCATCCTTGAACACCTCCACCTGGGCAGCCCCTCCCAAAGTCCCACAGCCCTTTCCATGAGGAAATCCCTCCTCCACACCCACCTCTGCCCAGAGAAACCTTCCTGAAAGGAAGGGCTGCCCCCCTTACCAGACTCCGCTGACGCAGCGCGTGGACAGAGCCTGGGGGGCAATGGTGGAGCCCTGCTGCATGAACCCCCCCACTGGGAACCACAGCGAGTTCCCCAGGGAGTACTGGTTCACCAGGAGGTTGCATCGACCTTGGGAGCAGGGGTGGGGGCTGTACCACTCATATGGTGTCAGCCTGAAAGGACAAGAAAAGGAGAGCTCAGGGAATGTGCTGGGAAATGGGACACTTAAAAAAAAAAAAAACCAAAAAAACCCAAAAAACAAAAAAAAAAAAAAAAAAAACAAAAAAAAAAACAAAACAA